CCAGTTGTTAAGTGAATCTGGCTTTGCCATTGACTTTGCTTGTCAAAAGGTCGCAAAAGGTGATTATATGATCTTGGGACACCGTAACAGTCATAAGTGTGAACCAGTTGGCAAGCATCTGAATTTTGATCAGATGATTATGGGGATGCTGCCAATTTCATAACTGTGAAAAATGGTCATAAATCATTTTTTCAGTGCTGTTGTAACTTTGAATGGTCATTAAATGAACTGTTGTAAGCCTAGAACTACCTGAACAAGTTCCTCAGGTTATTCTGTTACCCAGTGGTCCAGCAGGATATCACAGTGGATTTGTATATAATAATAATAATAATTTTTTTAATAATTTTATTTCTATACCGCCCTTCTCCCGAAGGACTCAGGGCGGTGTACAGCCTGTTTAAAAACACAAAAAACACGACAACAATTTAAAATTTAAAATCATTAAATAATTAGGCTCCAATTAAAATCCCAGAAATTTAAAATACCCCAATTTAAAACGTTATGTTAGTAACCCTGCCTGGCGGAACAACAGGGTCTTCAGAGCGCAGCGAAACACCCGGAGGTCGGAAATCTTTCGTATTTCGGGGGGCAGTTCATTCCACAGGGCTGGAGCTCCCACAGAGAAGGCCCTCCCCCTGGATGTCGCCAGCCGACATAACTTGGCTGATGGCACCCGGAGGAGACCCTCTCTGTGGGAGCGGACTGGTCGGTGGGAGGCTATTGGTGGCAGAAGACGGTCTCGAAGGTACCCGGGTCCTATGCCATGGAGTGCTTTAAAGGTGGTAACCAACACCTTGAATCGCACCCGGAAGACCACTGGGAGCCAGTGCAGCTCGCGCAGGAGGGGTGTCACGTGGGCGCAACGGGTTGCACCCATAACCACCCGCGCGGCCGCATTCTGGACCAGTTGGAGCCTCCGAGTGCTCTTCAAGGGGAGCCCCATGTAGAGAGCATTACAATAGTCCAACCGGGAGGTGACAAGGGCGTGAGTGACCGTGCGCAAGGCGTCCCGATCCAGAAAGGGCTGCAACTGGCGAATCAGGCGAACCTGATAAAAGGCCCCCCCTGGCCACGGCCGTCATGTGCTCTTCTAAAGACAGCCGTGCGTCCAGGAGGACACCCAGATTGCGAGCCCTCTCTGTGGGGGGCAAAGATTCACCCCCAATAGTCAGCGATGGCACCTGCTGACTATATCGGGGCGCCGGAAGCCACAGCCACTCGGTCTTGGAGGGGTTGAGTCTGAGCCTGTTCCTCCCCATCCAGGCCCGCACGGCCTCCAGGCAGCGGGACATCACATCAAGGGCATCGTTGGGGTGGTCTGGGGTGGAGATGTACAGCTGAGTATCATCAGCGTACAGATGACACTTCACCCCAAAACCACGGATGATCTCACCCAGCGGCTTCACATAAATGTTGAACAGGAGAGGCGAGAGGACCGACCCTTGCGGCACTCCCCATGCGAGATGCCTCGAGGTCGACCTCTGTCCCCCTGCCAACACAAACTGCGAGCGGTCGGAGAGGAAGGAGGAGAACCACCGCAAAACGGTGCCCCCTATTCCCAACCCCCTCAACCGCTGCAGCATGATACCATGGTCGATGGTATCAAAAGCCGCCGAGAGGTCTAATAGGACTAGGACAGAGGAGCAACCCCTGTCCCGAGCCCTCCAGAGATCATCCACCAACGCGACCAATGCCGTTTCAGTGCTGTACCCCTGCCTGAAGCCCGACTGGTACGGGTCTAGATAGATAGCTTCATCCAGGTGCCGGGGAAGTTGTCGTGCCACCACGCTCTCAACAACCTTCGATATAACACAGTCATCTTCTATCTAATCTCAGACAACACAAAACAAAGGAACAACCAAGCAGAAAATATAGATATACTATCCATGGATTTAAACATACCAGACCAGGGGTCACCAACCTTTTGGATCTCAGGGACCACTAAATTCATAATTTTAAATCCCGCGGACCACTAATATGATCTGCCTAATGACTGGCTGGGTGGGCGTGGCTAGGTAGTCATGTACTGGGTGGGCATGGCCAATTCGATGACACGTCGGGGGTGCCTTGCCTGCCTCTACTCGCCTCTCCCCTCCCAGCCACTCCTCGCCTCTCTGCCCAGGCTCCTTAGGACTCAACAGGAAGCAGTTGCTGGAGCTAAGCAGCCACCATGAGAAAGAGTTGGCAAAACAGCTGGCTCAGTTCAAATTGGATCTGGCCGAGAAGGAGCTCAGCAGAAGCACCTCACTGAGGACTACGAGCATAGGCTTTCCAAGCAGAGGGAAGACCTGCGGGAGTGCAAGGCCAGGTACCAGTGCCTGGAGGGTCAGCGGGCTGAGATGGTCAGTCAGTTCCAGGCCATGATGCAGTCCTACTGGAACAAGGTCTTCCGGCTCTTTGCCACCAGTGGCGCTTCCCTCCAGCCTTCGCCCAAAGCCCCACACCAGGAGGCTGAAGCAGACCCTAAGTCGGAATTTCTGTCCCCCCACCAACCTGCAGAAAAAGACCCTGAAGGGGGAGACTTTCTGCAGCAACACAAATGTTTGTTGCACGTATCCTGCCCAGGGGGTATAGTTTGAGGACCCCTGATTTAGTGCAATATTAAAAATGCAAATAATTTTTCTGTGGACCACCAAAATTTTCTCACACATCACCAGTGGTCCACAGACCACCAGTTGGTGACTGCTGCACCAGACAATAACTAAGTAGCAGGAAGTACTGTTTGCTGTTTGCTATACTTTGCAAACCAGAAATGCTACGTTGAAGATGAAAAACAAGATCAAATCTCAAAAATCAATCAAACATAGATCCTCCCACACGTAATCACAGTCAGATGTAAACAGAAAATGCAAACATTATACACTCAGATATACACAAACCACCTTGCCTTGCTTCATTGCTAACAGTGTAAATTCAGAGAGTTACAACTCCAAGCATCTTCAGAACCAAGGCTAAGAAATGTTGTTCCCTAATATCTGTTTTCACATCCAATAGTAAAAATAGATTCCAAACATTTAGAAGAACAATTAAAGAGAGGCCCTGCAAGGATTATTTTTAAAAAATCACCATCATGTCACAGCAAGTATTTTTACTCAAAAGATATTATAAGTCTAAAGTGGATAGCCATTTATCCATGAAGAGACCGCCCTGAACAGATTTGTACTGCTGACTGCTATTCCTCTTATATTCCACAGTATGGTATTAGAGTTCAGTCAATTGCAACTGCAGAATCAGAAAGTCTAGCAAATATCTATTTTGAATAAGAAAAGCTTCTAATATTTCTGTTATTCTATGATTTTGTACAAATATTTTGTGGCACCCAACAGAAGCATGCCTTTTCTGAAGTAGTTATTTTTAAATGTGGGATCAAAGTTGAAAGGCTTGAGGAAAATATACATTGGACTCTGAAAGTTTGAGATTTGATTATTTGAAAGAGACAAATGGCGTTAAAATGAATCTCAGATTTGTATTTATAGAATACAGGGTCCTATTACCCAGATTTACTGAACTTTTCTAAAAACCATCAGAAGTAATAATAAAAGTGAACACAAAATATTAATACTGTAGTGAGTTTCTATCTCATATTCTTTAGAAACTTTGCACTTGCAGTTGCCATTTGAAGAACAATGAGATTTTGTGTTTTTTTTTGCCACTACATTTGTATGATACACTGGTCTAGCAAACCGCTTTAAATGCACTCTTTGTGGTTGGTTTATGGTTCACTTTATCATGTGAACTCAGAAAATTGGGTTAAATAATGAATAGCTCAGATAACAAAGCACAACGTCATGCATCAAAACTAACTGTTTATACATAGGCAGGAGGAAGTAACAGTATCATAACCGAAAAGTACCATAATAATTGGAATATATTATATTGGAATATAATTGGAATATTGCTATATATGGCAGGAATCAACTTGCCTGGAAATGTTTATGTAAGCAAATTATTGAAAATCAACATTTCTATTGTTTCCACTGGCCAATAAAACAGTCCTACCTTCTTAAAATGTATTTTAGCAACTTTTTTAAAAAAAATCTATAGGCTTTCTTTCTAATCATGACTGCATTCTGATGGATATCTCAGTATCATTTGAGAAAAAATTGAATGAGGATTTTATGAAGTACAAATTGTATTGTATTTTAATAATTGTCATTTAAAAAAATTACCTTTTTTCTGCTCTGAGACAAGAGCACCTAATTATTTTACTTATCAAGCGTGAACTGGCTAAGAAATTGACTCTAGGACGGTTAATTCATGATTCTATAAATTTAAAAAAGCCTAGTGAAAGTTGCATATAGGTTAAAATGATCTATTTATAAAAACCCTGCAACTGCCTTGGACTTTTGCAATGAAACCAAACGAAACACTGTATGAACAAGGTAGTATCTTTAGAATAGAACAGAATTTTTTATTGGCCAAGTGTGATTGGACCCACAAGGAATTTGTCTTGGTGCATAATATGCCCTCAGTGTACATAAAAGAAAAAAAAAAGTTCATCAAGAATCATAAGGTACAAAATAAAAAAGTAAATATATAAGAATTATGTCCATGAGATTGTTGCCGGGGGACGGGAGGGAAAGGGGGGCTTATTACAAATCTGTTCCGGTCTCTAATAATTGGGATTGCGTGTTTGGAGCAAAAATCCAATCAACTCCCAAGAAAAAGTTTGGTAACAGTAACAGATTTGGAAGGGACCTTGGAGGTCATCTAATCCAACCCACCTACTCACGCAGGAGATCTGTATTAGGGATTCGAACCGTCGACCTTTCTGATCGACAAGCTCAGTGTCATAGCCACCGAGCCACCTAGTCAGGGTTCATCGTTCCAGAAATAATTCTAATTACTACCACTACTCACTCCACTGTGTTCCTTGCACCCTAGTTTCAAAAAGCCAGAAGCATCTCAACGCTAACCTAACGTTCCAACTCAACGCACGTTCCTATAGTTTACGCGTACTCTCACCGAACGGGCCCTGAAATTTGGCCCCATAAACTCACCGTACTCATTCGCATTCTCCGCCTCCTCCTCTCTTCCCCCTCTCCTATTGGTCGGAAACCTGACACTTAACCCGGAAGTGAGGGTAAGATTCTCGCTCCACGTGGGAAGAGTCTGGATGTGTGTGTGTTGTTATCGTGGGAACTTTCAACGAAGGGTTTGAACTTTTAGCGCGTTGCAGTTATGAGTGCCGGGGCATCTGCGGCGATCGGTACGTTTTCCCCCCCTCCCTCTCTTTTCTTTCTCTGCAGATTTCCGGCCAGGTTGAGCTGTGGTTTATCCCCCTTTTTTCCCCTTCTCGCTATGGCAGGCGAAACGGAGGCACCGGCACGAAGGCTTTGTTTGTCGGATAGCGAGAATGAGGACGCTTGGGAGGAGGAGGAGGAGGAGGATGGTGCCGACGATCCCAGCGCCGGGATGGAGAGACCTTCGCAGAGCACTCCCTGCCTTTTCTGCGACAGGTGGGAGTTTTAGGGAAAGGAGTTGGAAAGAAGCCTTCCTTCCTCCAGCCTAACATCATGCGAGTTTCTGCTTTGTCTCTGTTATCTCCTTTCCTTCTCCTTGCTTCAGCAGAGTCCCCAAAGAAGAGGGGTGTATAAAAGGAAAGAAAAATCACCAGCAATTTAAACCGTGCCTGGAAGCTTCGTGTTAAAATGAAAGCCATCCTCTTGACATCAACAGCTAGCAGTCTCAACATTTTTCTTAAAAAGACAACCCATTCACACAATCTTTTTTTCCCCATTCAAAAGTTGTTTAGTTAGATGCTGCCCAGAGTTGCTTGGGATAGCAAAAATGGGCAACACATAAATTTAATTTAAATTTAATAAATAAGTAACTGGATTTTGAATGTACAACACACGCAACTAAACATCGCAAAGTGCGTGGTTTTTTTGCGCTCTTTTCATTTTAGGATTTTGCTTGAAATGTGACTTGTTACATGGGAGTCTGTAGTTTTTGTCTGACGTTAAAAGCAGGGTTGCAGTCACGGGCTCCAACTTCTTGGGGGCCAAACCTCTAAACATGACCTTTCGTAGTGAAAGCATTGTAGAAAAGTACAGTAGTCCTTGACTTAAGACCACAATTGAGTCCAGAATTTATGTTGCTAGGTGAGACATTTGTTAAGGGAATTCTGCCCCATTTTATGATCTTTCTTGCCACAGTTGTTACGTGAATCACTGGTTGTTAAGTTGGTAATAACTGTGGTTAAATGAATCTAAAATTCCCCACTGAATTTATTCATCAGAAGGTCACAAAAGGTGATCACTGCAACCATCATAAATATGAACCAGTTGCCCAGCACCCAAATTTTGATCACATGACCATGGGAATGCTGCAACGGTCCTAAGTGGAAAAAGTAATAAGTGACTTTTTTTCGTTGTTGTTGTAACTTTGAACTGGCACTAAATGAACTGTTGTAAATCAAGAACTGAATGCCTCACTGCTCTGTGGGGAATAGAAGACTTGAATACTTAACTCACAGTAGTGTTTAGTCTTTACCACATGTATTTCCTATCTTTCAGATACTGAATTTCTTTTGCATTTAATCATTGTTAGTTTTCTCATCTGACTACTGTAATCTATTTGTTCCCATCCTTGCTGCCTTTCTTTTAGGGATATTATTTTTTCTGTACATTATCATGAGATGTTTCTAACATCAATTTTCACTTCATTTTTTCACCTGATACTTCAGAAATATATTGCTTATTCTTTAATACATGCTCTGAATTCTGTCTTTCATAGTTCCATAATTAGATATTGTAATCTATTTCTGTTATGCTGTTTATGCCTACTTTTTAAAAGTATAAAATTGGTGTGTATGTGTTTTAAAAATACTGCTTTTTTTCTAAGATGTTTCAGTTCAGCTGAAGATAGTTTTTGCCATTGTACCTCAGACCACGGGTTCAATATTGAGATGATGGTTCAAAAACATAGTAAGTTTATTTCCACATATAGTATGGTTCTCTTTTTGCATTTTCAAAAGTTTATTAAACTTAAGGCTACAAAAAGAAAAGAGAAAAATTAAAAAACCAAATAAAGATCTACAAGTATTGTAAAATTAACTTAAAATTTTCAAAATTTATTTTTTGAATGTTAGAATTGATTGTATCAATTTAAAGTTTTAAGAACATTAAAGTAAATCTGTTAAAAACAAGGCAGGTAAAAATTAACTATGATCAATATGACAAATTGTTTTAAATGGAAAAGATTACAATAATTTTTGCATTAAAAAAAATCTGACAAATTTAAAACATAAAGAGATTAAACGTTAAAGACTTATATTTTACTAAGGTGAAGAAACAAACTTTTGATGTGGTATTATAGGGCAAAAATTGTTTCCATGTTGATTTAATTTAATATCAGATGTGTTTTTTAAATATTGGTTTGTATGTCTGTGCAAATTCTCAGAACTTAATTTTCATTTTCTACAGAAGTTGTTCAGAAATTCTAGTGAAAAGAATGGATGCAATAGTAACATTGAATTTTTTTCTTATTTGATTGCAATGTTGTAAAGCTTAACAATTCAGAAAAAAATTGATATTGGAATATAAGAAATTTTTAAGATTCAGTTTTCTTCCCAGCTTTCTATTCTTTTTAAGTAAACATTTTTAAATCTTGTGCTTACACAAATCAAAATATTAGCTGCTGGTTATTTAGTGTCTTATTTTCAATTCTTATTATATTCTTTGGGATAAAAAATGGACAAAATGTTCATTTTTACTACTGCAGTTCTTCCTAACCGTAAAGTACCAACTTTCTCCATCTGAAATGTCTGCCATTATACTTCTCCAATTCAGGGAATAAATATTTTATTTTTTTGTTAATAAATTGCCAAATATTTAATCCATTTAATAATAATGTTGAAGCCTGTTTATTGAGGTGTTGTGGAATGGTGAAACCAAATAACATTCCTAGGTTAGCCAGAGCCAGTTTATTGCACAATAGGTTCAGAGAGGTATGTGTACCAAAAAATCTGAACAACTTTATGCTTCTGAGACCCCAGTTTTATACATTTTCAAACAAAGGATTCTATTAACTCAGCAGTTTATATGGTCATATACATTTGTTATATTTACTTGACATTTCCTAATTACTAAAGTTTCATATTATTCTTGCCAAACAATCATAATTCTTCTGTAAATTACTGGAGCATAGATTCAAATTATCTTCTATTGATAAATGACTTATAGCTCATGTGGATACCCTTGACCTAACCAACCTTTAAGCTGTATGTCATCAGAATGTTCCTTTCTTCTGACAACTTAGAGGCCTCCTAAAAGTATCAAAAGGATTTTGGCTGAGTTTGTAATTTTTCCAACCGGATGCATTGCTTTTAGAATAGAGTGAATAGAAAGTTATCCAGTGGTCATCTATCAGAGCCCGCTTCATTTACTTTAGAGGCAGGGTTTTTTTTCTTATTTATGGTTCCATTGCCATTTCATTGTTTACAAATTGAGCATTTTAATCTTAGGGAAAATAATTGCCAGGCTTTGTTAGGTGAAAATATTAAATGTATGCCTTATTCAGAATGTTTGCCTTACTTTGAATAAAAATATTGTCCAGTGTTGATACTTTATTTAATTTATTTGTATGTGAAATTCTTTTTATTGGTTTGAAATTTAGAGAAATTTCATTCTACAATTTAAGAAACAATGAGAAGTTCATGTATAAATATCCTATACAAATTTCTCTGGGTGTGTTTGTGTGTAGAATTTTTAGCATGTTCATGATTGTAGGAAGAATATCTTACCTTGCTATAGAATTTAACATATAGTAAATTTGTTTTCATTTGTAAAGTGAGAGTATCAATGGAAATGGGATATATATAAAGTGAGTTAAATTGTTTTTCTGTGAGTAGAAGAATAAAACATTTAAGTTGAATTATATGGAAGTGTGAAAAGTAAGCAGTAAAATTGTTGAAATTGCACTGGGGGAAACTAAGGTTTAAGTCCACCTTTAGTACAGAAGATCATAAGGTGACTTTGAGCCAGTCATTCTCTTTCAACTCAATCTCCCTCATAACACTATTGTGGCAAAATAGTAATTTTACTATTTTACTCATTCAATAGTAATGAGTACAATTCAAAGTGTTGCCTCTAACTCTACCTCTCTGATATATTCCAGCAGAGGGAGCATGCCACATTCCCCAACTCTCAGAATATAGGTAAAGTCACAAGTTCTTCCTGTGATGGATCCCACAGTCTACAATCCCTGCTCTCTCCTTGCAGAGTTAAGATGACTGCCTAGTGTTATTTCCAGAACCTTTGGGAAATAGGTGCTATTGTAATGTCTGAATGTTGGTTACATTATCCAACATTAATGAATTATTAACTTATTATTAATATTAAATAATAAAATTATTAATATTAATAATCGGGAGCAGGGGTGGGTTCTACTTACTTTTACTACCGGTTTGCAGCGGGGCCGCGCATTGCGCTTGCTTTGCTTGCGCGCGCGCTCTTCTGTGCAAGCGCAGAAGCTTCTCCACATGCGCAGAAACGTTTTGATGACATTAGAGTCGATGGGCAGAACCTCCTGCCGGTTTTACTACCGGTTCTATAGAACCGGTGCGAACCGGGGGCAACCCACCACTGATCGGGAGCCAGTTTGGTGGAGCCAGCAAGCTAGAAACTGGAGGGGCTGTGATTTCTAGTCCTGTCTTAGGCCCAATGCCAGCCTTGTGACTTCGCCAGTCTCAGCCCTTGAAGAAGCCAAAGTTAAGCCGTTTCCAAAAATCTGCAGGGGTTAGCTCAAAACAGTTGTCAGGAATCAACATTGACTCAAAGGAGTTTGTATACAGTGCACACAAATGCACATCAATTGCTGGTCCAGTAGTTATTGGTTGTTTTTCTACTAAGATTGTTTTATTTTGCCAGATGTAAATTGCTTAAAATTTGTGATTGAAATGGCATTCAGATTTTGTAAGTAGCGTAACTCATTACATTAATAAATAAGCTTTGTTAGTTTTTGTGAGAAAGTCAAATATTCCATTTAGTATAGCAAACTTATAGTTGTACTGAACTTGACAAAGAAAATCAATACAGAAATAAAATAATGGGAGGAAGTATAAAAACATAAGAGAGTAAACAGATTAAGATTCTGATAAATATTTATGTTTTTCTGCTTCTTTCAGGGCTTGACTTCTATGGCTACATTAAGCTAGTAAATTTTATTAGGCTGCAGGTAAGTTTTCAAGTATTTTGTAAAGTAGATGTAATTTAAGTAATGTTATTTAAATTACAGAGTGGTGAGAAGAGTATGTTCTACATTTGGTATTAGGTTTCTGAGAATGCCACTTGAAGAAATTGTGAGAGTGAAAAAACTAAACCAAATATGAATGTAAAATCCATTTTTAAAAATTATTTATGGTGGATGATTTTGATGCCCAGAATATTACTTCACGTAAGAACCGTAGTTAATTGGGTCAGTTTATCAATATAGTAAATAAGTGTGCATAATATTCTATGCAATCTGGAAATGTGTAAGTTTTAGATCACTATTAATATCCTATGGCCATTTCTTACCAAAATGAAGACCACAATGTTCAGTAATGTTTATTGTTTCTAGATCTAATTTTAGAGTTGCTTATTGTTAGCAACAACTTGTTAATGGCAAGCAATGGATTTGGAAATGATATATTGTACATATGTGTATGTATATGCTTTCTTAGATGTTTGTTTATTTGTGTCAGAAGCATCACAATTAAAATAAGGCATACTATATGACATAAAATTTAAAATACAAGATTAATCCGTTGTTACAGTGGATGAGAAGGGTAAAAGTTCAAGTTAGCACTGCAAAAAAGATTTTTCTTTGATGGGAAATTAGGAGCATTATGTATACAAGAAAAATAAGAAATTGATAAAGACTATCTTCAGCTATAAATTAGAGGAAGAATGTATCGTTTGTAGAACTATGCTACAAGTAGATCAGATGTCTAACTTTAAAAATTCCAGTGTGTTATTTCAGTATGATACATTTTTAGGATAGTCTGTCACTTCCATGTTCATTTACTATTTCAGAAGCCAGATGCAGAGTATGTTAATTCTCTTAGATCTCCATTTCCTTGGAACGAAGATAACTATTTGAAGCCTGTAATAGAAAATGATTTATTACTACAGTTTGGTAAATTTTCTTTTCATTTTAAATTTTTGCATAGTATATAAAATTATAAGGAATTTTGTAAATGACTTGAAGCCTTGTCCAAATCAAGATAGTTTATATTTTCAAGTGGAATAGGAATTATCTGTGCTTTAAACTGTTTGAAAATACCGTGTTTTCCCCAAAACATGACATGTCCTGAAAATAAGGCCAAGCCTGAATTTCGTTAAGAAATGCGTGGGCCTGATGGGCACTTACCCGTGGGCCCCATGAGCATAGGGGCCCCATACTAATCTGTGTATGTTAACCCTTCAATGCACCTTGTATCTTATAAATACAGCAACGTATTTATTACATAAATACGTAATATAATGCAAATATATGTTTAATTTTATTGACCATTTACATTTGTATTCCTATGAGTAGTTGTCATAGGGCAGTGGTGAAATCTAAATTTTTTTACTACTGGTTCTGTGGGCGTGGCTTGGTGGGTGTCGTGTGGCTTAGTGGGCATGGCAGGGGAAGGATACTGCAAAATCTCCATTCCCTCCCCACTCCTGGGGGAAGGATATTGCAAAATCTCCATTCCCTCCTCACTCCAGGGGAAGGATACTGCAAAATCCCCATTCCCTCCCCACTCCTGGGGGAACGATATTGCAAAATCTCCATTCCTACGCCACTCTGGGGCCAGCCAGAGGTGGCATTTGCCAGTTCTCTGAATTACTAAAAATTTCTGCTACCAGTTCTCCAGAACCTGTCAGAACCTGCTGGATTTCACCCCTGTCATAGGGGCTCCAGTACATGGCTTTGCCCTGGGCCCATAATGCTGTTAAGACGGCCCTGTCTAACCGGCTATATATCTTAACTGCATAATGATCCCAATATTCAGAATGGCCAGATTCAATGCCCTTCCAACAGCCTTTGCTGAAGGAAGATATGAAAAGATCCCCCTTTGAACAAAGACTATGTTCATGTGGTGGAAGAATAATTGAAATAAGGAAACGTGTTATTCTGTATTGCCCTTTCTATGCATGTGCCCGCCAGGAATTTTTACTAAAATCTTTACTAAATATCCCAGTCATTCTGATCTATTTTATCTTAAGATGTTCTTATTGGATCAGTCTGATTTTATTTCCTTGACCATAGCCGTGTACTGTTCTCTAGTTTATGCAATATGGTATAGTATTTATTCTAATCCTTTTAGATATTTTCAGGGTGGATTTGATTTAAAGCGACTTGATTTAAATCACTAGTAAAAATGCTTGATTTAAATCAACTTGATTTAAATCATAATTTTTAAACAGCAACTTCATCTCTGACCCGCTGTTGACTGACAGTCCCATTCACTTGAATGGGTGATGTGGCAGTGACCCAACAAGGTGAGGGACATGGCGGGCAGCAGGTGAGTGGGTGCCCGCTAACAGGTGCTGCCATGATGGATCTGAAATGTAAGGACTCATTCTTGCTGGTAGTTAGAATCTTTAATATTATTATTTGCAAATAAAATGAAGGTTTCCTATTTAACTTGCAGAGCTTGAATTCATTGAATGAGTTTACCAAAAATGTAAATATACATTTACCAAAAATGCAGAATATACAGCCTCGTGCTACATAACTAAGCTCCATTTCATGCTGAATAAACTAAATTATTAATGGATCTTAAATAGAAAACTATCTTTAGATAGATTTTTACTCCGAAAGCGTTTTATTAAAACAAATTTGATAAAAAAAAAATCCGATTTAAATTTAAAAAAATTCATTTTTCAATTGTTTTTTAAAAAAAATAATTGTTTTTTATCTATCCTGGATATTTTAGAACAATTGTATTTTTTTCCTTTTTGATTTTATTTATTTATTTATTTATTTATTTTCAATTTATATACCACCCTTCTCCCTGAGGACTCAGGGCGGTGCACAGCCAGAATTAAAAACATGAAATACAAATATTAAAAACAATTAAAATCTATATAAATTTGGCCCAAAATTTAAAAAACCACAAACCAATTAAACATTTAAAAATTTTAAAAAATTTCTTCCTAAGCCAGCCCGGCTTGCTGGAAAAAGTGGGTTTTAAGGGCACGACGGAAGGCACTGAGGTCTTGGATTCTCCTTATCTCTGGGGGCAGCTGATTCCAGAGGGTAGGTGCCCCCACAGAGAAGGCTGTCCCCCTAGGAGTCACCAGCCTACATTGTTTGGCTGATGGCACCCTGAGGAGGCCCTCTCTGTGGGAGCGCACGGGTCGCTGGGAGGTCATCGGTAGCAGCAGGCTATCTCGAAGATAGCTAGGCCCTATGCCATGGAGCGATTTAAAGGTGATAACCAACACCTTGAAGCGCACCCGGAAGACCACCGGGAGCCAGTGCAACTCGCGCAGGAGCGGTGTTACATGGAAGCGCCATGCTGCTCCCATCACTACCCGCGCTGCTGCGTTCTGGACCAGCTGGAGCCTCTGGGTGCCTGTCAAGGGGAGCCCCATGTAGAGAGCATTGCAGTAGTCAAGGCGAGAGGTGACGAGGGCGTGAGTGACTGTGCACAGGGAATCCCGATCAAGAAAGGGCCGCAACTGGCGAATCAGGCGAACCTGATAAAAGGTCCCCCTGGTTACAGCTGTCAGATGTTCCTCCAAGGACAGCTGCATATCCAGGAGGACTCCCAGATTGCAAGCCCTTTCTGTGGGGGCCAAGGACTCGCCCCCAATAGTCAGTGATGGAGTCAACTGACTATATCGGGATGCCGGGAGCCACAGCCACTCAGTCTTGGAAGGGTTGAGCTTGAGCCTGTTCCTCCCCATCCAGATCCACACAGCCTCCAGGCACTGAGACATCACTTCAAGGGCATCGTTGGGGTGGCCTGGGGTGGAGATGTACAGCTGGGTGTCATCAGCGTACTAATGGTATCTCACCCCGAAGCCACGGATGATCTCGCCCAGCGGCTTCACATAAATGTTGAACAGAAGGGGTGAGAGGACCGATCCCTGCGGCACTCCACAGATGAGAGGCCTCGAGGTCGACCTCTGTCCCCCTGCCAACACAAACTGCGATCGGTCGGAGAGAAAGGAGGAGAACCACCGCAATACGGTGCCTCCCACCCCCAACTCTTCCAGCCGGTGCAGCATGATACCATGGTCGATGGTATCAAAAGCCGCTGAGAGGTCTAACAGGACCAGAACAAAGGAGCAACCCCGTCCCGAGCCCTCCAGAGATCATCAACCAACGCGACCAATGCCGTTTCCGTGCTGTGCCCAGATCTGAAACCCGACTGGAACGGATCTAGATAAGATGTTTCCTCCAGGAATTGTGGAAACTGTCGCGCGACCACACTCTCAACAACCTTCGCCATGAAGCGAAGGTTGGAGACAGGACTATAGTTGGCCAATATTGCTGGATCCAGGGACGGCTTCTTGAGGAGAGGCCTCACCACCGCCTCTTTCAAGGTAGCGGGGAAGTAACCCTCACTCAACGAAGCGTTGATAACACCCTGGAGCCAGCCTCGTGTAACCTCCTGGGAAGCCAGTACCAACCAGGAGGGACACGGGTCCAGTAAACATGTGGCCATACTAAGTCTCCCCAATATCCTGTCCACATCATCGGGAGTCACAGCATCAAACTCCTCCCAGATAACATTCTCAAGACTATTCCTCGTCACCCTGCCCTGATCTACCCAGTCAGAGTCCAAATCCCCCCGGATCGGAGCGATTTTGTCATACAGGTATTGTCCGAAATCCTCCGCCCTGCCTTCCAGGGGATCCTCCCGCACTCCCGGATGGAGCAGGGAGCGGGTCACCCTAAACAGGGCGGCCGGATGATTCCCTGATGACGCAATAGAGGCGGAAAAGTAATTAAACTTTGCCGTCTTTATCGCCACTAGGTAGGTCTTAATATGCAACCTTACCAGTGTTCGATCAGATTCAGCGAGACTGGCCCTCCAACCGCTCTCCAGGCATCTTTTCCGGCGCTTCATTTCCCTCAGCTCCTCAGTAAACCAAGGAGCTGCGCGGGATCGGCACCGGGTCAGAGGCCGCAAAGGCACGACTCGGTCCAAGGCCCCACCAGCCGCCCGATCCCAGGCGGCTACCAGGTCCTCAGCCGAGTCATGTGCTAGATCCTCAGGAAATGGCCCAAGCTCCATCTGGAACCTATCAGGATCCATCAGGCGCCTGGGGCGGACCCATCTTATTGGGTCCTGGATTCTGGTTAATTGTGACTTTTGTGATCTATCTGCTGGTCAGTGACTGAATAAAGATTGATTGATGATAAGAGTATTGTACTACTGTACTAAGCAAAAGTAAGTAAAGGAAGTTCACATTATACTCACTCCTGAGTTTACATGTTGTGTTGTAATAATATGTTGGAATACTCTTGGAAGACAGGAGGAAAAGCTGAAGAAAATTGGTGTGCAGAAGATATCTCAATCCAGAGGAGGAATGGAATGGGAAACATTTCAGAAGGGATTCCAGTTATGTAAAAAAAAAGCAAGCGAGGAAAAAATTTTCAGTCTTGCAAGATTCTGTTAAATGTAACCTTGCAATAAAGATAGATCTAGTGTTCCTGGCTGTGCTTCTTGTCTGGACTGTCTTTCAAAACTAACACATATTTAAGAAATATGGTCAGTATCCATTCTTATTCAAAGTTAAACCATTAAATTCCATTCCATATTTGTACAAATATTTGTATTTTATTCCCAGATGTAGAGGACCTTCTTGATTCTCCCAGTATCTCCTGTCCTAATGGAGTATCTGAGGCGTCATCTCTCCTTGAATGCTTGAAAAATGCTGAGCACAGAACTGGGTTGGCAGAAGCTGCATTGGCCAGAGCCCAAGATGATCTACAGAAAATGAGGTAATCATTTTGAATAATGCACTTTTTAGTTCAAAACCTTGAACTAAAGATTCAACTTAGTTGAACCAAGATGAAACAGGAGTATATTTAGTGAATTAAAGAGAAGAAAAACTGAACAATTTGTCATTTAATGAATGGATCAATAAGAAGGAAATATTTTTTACAAAATTGGAGTGTATGTAAAACACACTCTCCTGTTCCTTAAATAATACAATAAAAAATAAACTTAGCAAATAGGAAATAGCAAGAGATTTATTAGGCAGTGAATATGGAATGTAGACTGGATAGCATAATCATCAAATGGATCAGGGATGGATCTACTTACCTTTACTACCAGTTTGCAATGGGGCCGTGCATGTGCGTGCGCTTTGCTCGCGTGCACACACGCTCTTTTGCACATGCGCAGAAGTGTTATGACATCGGGGTTGGTGGGCGGAGCCTCCCTCCAGTTTTACTACTGGTTCTATAGAACCGCTCCGAACCGGGGGCAACCCACCACTGAAGTGGATACATAGGTAGCTCAAAAATCATAGTCAGAATGCCCTCGTTGAATTGGAATTGTCTAAAGATTCAGCCCTAAGCTTGCATTTTTCAATACTTTTATTAGTGTTGGAAGAAATGATACAGTGAAAGCTTCTCACATTTGTAAATAAGGTGAAACTAGATGGACTATCTGGTACCCTAGAAAACAAATGAAATTCACAATTTGTATAGTGTACAGCATTGATGGTTAACCTTTTTGGTGCCAAGTGCCCAAAGCGCGTGCACAAATGTACACGTGCGTGTCTGAAAATGCAATGCGAGTGCCCCCCACACATGCGTGCGCATCCCCACACATTCGCCCCGGGGCCCCCATGCCCCATTTTGGCTTCCAGGTTGGTGCAGGAGGCTATCCAGGCTCAAAACAGGGCATTGGGAGGCCTCGGGTGGCGCCCCAGACCCTGTTTTGGCTTCCAGGTTGGTGCAGGAGGCTTTCCAGGCCCAAAACGGGGCGCCGGGGCACCACGCAAGGCCCCCATGCGAGGCCCCCCGTGCCCCGTTTTAGGCCTGAAAAGCCTCCTGCACCAACCTGCACCCCACATGCATGTGCCCTACCCACCACGCATGCGCACACGCATCCCCCGCATGTGCCCCATCCTGCACCCATGCGTGGCAGAGACCTGAAGACCAGCTGACTGGCAGGAGCTGGGCTGGACCAACGGCTGGTGTGCCTTCAGTGAGCCATGTCATAGGTTCACCATCACGGGGCTAGAGAAATGTCCTGAAAGTAATAAATGAAGTTCAACAGAGGCACACGCGAAATTCTTCATTTAAAGTCAAAGACACAGTTACAGGATTGTCTGGCTTAATTACAGTGGAGGATGTCTGGAGGATGTTTGGCTTAATTACAGTGTTTATGAAAAAGGTGTTTGAATAGTAATTAATTGGAAAGCTGTATGTATCAGAAATGTGTCATTAGAAAAAAGTCAATTTTAGGCTTCGTTAATAGAAGTATAATTTCCAAAACAAAAAAAAATATTGCTCCAATTTATTATTTGGTGAAATTTCATACTGAATATATCTAGTTCTGGTTGACACATTTTAAGAAGGATTTAATTTAGACAAATTAAAACATCATGGAAGGCCAGTAAGGATGATCAGGAGACTAGAAACTAAACCTTACCAGAGATCAAGAAATTATGAATATGTAACGTTGGTAAGACTGAGCAGGATTATAACATCTTTAAATACCTGAATAATGTTACTAAAAGTCAAAACAGGTTCCTCATGATTCAAGAATGCATTTAATGGAGCTAAGCTATTGGAAGACAGATTCTGATTTAATCCTGAAAGAACCTCATAATTCTTAAGAGCAGTTTACCAGTAGAAATAATTACCTTGAAAGAAGTGCTGTCCCTTTCATTGGATGAGTTCAACTGGAGGCTAGATACTTGTATTTTAATTTAGGTTTTTGTCATAAAGTATGGATTGGACTTGATGGCCTAAGTAGAGCATTCCAGCTCAAATTTTTTGAATAGAGAATTGCTAAATCAATTCTTTCTGTTCTTTTATTTGGCTCAGTCCTGAGACAGGAGTGTTCTGAGTCACAAAATTGATTAAAATATCTATTCTGAACTCACAGACTGAGCACGACTGCACTTTTCTTACCCCTTCATTAGTTGCTAGTGATCCAACTAGAACATACATAGGGAATCGGTAGGTAACCAGACGTCATCCTGTCAGCAACTCCCATCAGCATGGCCAGTAGCCAGGGATGTTGAAATTAATCAGTGTCGATAGTCTCATCCAAATATTTTTGTTGCTATAAAAAGTACAGACTGGCACGTCCTAGATAGCTATCCTTAAATCCTGCTTTACAGGAAGAGAATCAGATGCCCAAGGCTGCATCAAAACACATGTAAAGTGTTTTAGTTATAGGCTAGAAGGGAAGTCAGAAATCATCCTAGAAGAAGGCATTGGCAAATATTTCTGTACTTTTGCCAGAAAAATCACAAGAGTAAGGCCACTTCATTACCAAGAGCTAAGACGTATTTGATGTAGACTTGCCTGTAAATATTAGAATAGCTTCTGTTCCACATTCTAGTTGTTTTATATGAGGTATTCTGAAATTATAGCCATTGTTCCTTCAAATAGTACTTTTATTTTAAAAAAATAGATTTTTGGACTATTGTGTTCTTAAATCACTCAATGAGGATCTGCTATTGCCTTATAGACTTATTATTGTTTTTGTAGCAGAAAGAGGATGCTGAGAAATAATACTAATTGTTTAAGTGCTTTTAAAATGTTAATTTCTCCACTGTTGTGGCCCTGTGATTATCTTCTACTTTTTCTTTATTGGTTGCTATTCCTTGAAAGGTTATTATTGTCAAAGGTTGCTAAATTACTTTAAAGTAATTGGACAAAGTTTTCTAACATCAACTGGATTATTTGGAGTCTATTCCCTGCTGTTTTATGTTTTCTGAAAGTACCTTTTAAAAAGTTAGTATCTTAATATACATTTTGCTGTACTACAGGTAGAATTGTGTGTGTACCTTTGAGTCATTATTGACTCCTGGTGACCGCCTGGACTTATCCCTGCAGTTTTCTTGGCAAGGTTTTTCGGAGATAGTTTGCCATTGGCTTCTGCTTCTTGGACTGAGACAGAGTCTCGGCCCAAAGTCACCCAGTTGATTTTGTGTCTGAGGCAAGACTAGAACTCATAGTGTTAAGACCAATTGACTGCAAAGGAAACACAATCTTTCCATTCCCCCCACCCCCCACCCTCTAATCTCAACTGTGAATAATTGTCCTTTCATCTCCCACAGCATCCAAAACAACTGATGCTTCCAGGATAGGAAGTGAAACGTCTTCTATTTTCCTCAAGAAATCAGTCCAGTTGCCTTTTCAAAAATAAAAACCACTTTTGATTCAACTGGATGACTGAGGATTTTCATGGGCATTTGACTAGAACTCATAGTTTCCCAGTATCTAGCCTAGTGTCTTAACCACCAAATTGACTCTCATAGTTAGAACTGAGTAGGCTTATAGAAAACAACCACATACAGTTCTTCATACCCTGGAATGTTTTAAAAAAACCCAAAAAACTAATGTTGAAAAAAATTCCAAGCAACTTTCAATGCAGTAGCCAGCAGAGGGAGCTTCAGCATGTGGAAGCCACCAAATAGCACAGTATGCAACCTATATGCTGCCTTTTTATAGTTCTTGTACTATGTCTTCAGGGTATGTTTCAAATTGATTACAGGCAATTTGCGCAGGATTTGGTGATGAACACAGAAATCGGAAGTTGCTCATCTGCCAGCACGACTGGGAACTTAAAGGAGGATGAGGAAGATGTTTACTTCAGCTCATACGGGCACTTTGGGATCCACGAAGAAATGCTAAAGGTTAGGAAATGAACACAAGCATGTCTTTATGGTGAGAAAGATGGAAGTGAGGCTGTTTTTCCATACGTATACTGCAATACAGCTGCATTTTTAACCCTATCCATACTAGATTGTTATCCTGGTGAAGCTCAGGTAAAAATGCAAGAGAAAAAAGTGAACAAAATAACAGGACAAATCACACGTGTAAAAACACAGATCAAAATCCAAAGGACCATGTATAGTCTGCCCTCCCCATATGTTGCCTTGGTTGTTTTCCCCTCCCCTAAGAGTAACAGATCCCCTTCACTGGGATAGGAATTCAGCCATATGATAGCTAATATAGATTTAGGTCTTCCATAAACACAACAGAAAAAAAAAACCTCTGGAGGTAATTCTCCTCTAATATTTTGATATTAAATAATTAACGTAATTTAAGATATCTTGTGATTAAATTTTGACAATAGTGCATATGCTAGCCTTTGGGATTTTGTCTACTCTAGCGCCAGCATTTACATTGCAGCATCTTCCTCTCAGTATGTGGACTAGTACAGAAAAAAAAATGAACTACCCTATGGATAATACAGATTCACATTCCGTGATGAGCCTGGTTCCCCGATAATGTTAACCACTCAATCATGATTTATAAATTACAGTGGCTGGATTTCTGTGTCAGCTGAGCTATAAATGAACAATCAACTGTATAAATTAGAACCTAGTCCGTGCCTTGGCTAGGTAAGAGAAGACTGGTAAAATACCTTCTTGCTTAAGCAGAGATGGGAACTCTGGGTCCCTCCAAATACTGAAGGGCTGCAGTACCGTTAGGATGAACAGTTTTAAGATTTTCAGACTTGTAGCCTTACTACAGCCTGAGGTCCAGTACTTCCACAGCACCATCCGTGCTTAGGATTGAGCTTTCAGTTCGAAGCTGCATAATATTTGTGATTTTACAGTATATTCTCTTGTCTTTATTTCATATTTAATAAACAAGATGCTTCTGAAACAATGGTGCTAGAATCAGATAAGTACTGTTGAATAAAGAGATAGGTTAATATTAATTACCTGGCAGAAACTAATTTAATCAGCTTTCTAGATATGCCCAAGGGTGGGAGTACCTGAGTCAAACAGTGAAGTCTATATCATTGCAATGCTGATGAAGACAGCCAATTCCACATCCTTGTTCTTTGAAACTCTGATGGAAAAGGAATGCAGAGCAAGCATTCCTGTGGACTGCAGCAAATAAGAAGGTTCACAAATGAGAGCAGAGTAATGGGATTTTTTTAGATAGTTGTGTTTGAAATTCACTAAAACAGTTTAATTTACATTATTTATGCATAAAATAAATAATTTCAAGCTCCTCTCAATTTCTGATCAATCAATCTCAATCCTGAAAGGCACTGATTCAGATATGTAGGCTTCATTCCCAAACGCGAGTTTTGGAATTTAGCTTGCTAGCTGCTGCAGGGAATTGTACTTTTGTCCTTTCGGTGTTTCATCTAGTGGTGCAGTATCTGATTTGTATGCAAGGAGAAGTTCTCACTTTTTTTTTTTAGTTGTTCTTTTTATATATTTTTTTTAAACCTGCGTTTGCAAGGAGTTAAAAATAGGATCTCAGGCACTGTCTTCCTTTTGTTTGCTGATTGGTTCTCCAGCCACTTACACAGATAGTAAAGCATATGGCTTTCTGGCAGTTTGTCTATCTGCCCACATTTATTAAAGGGAATGATGTTAGTTGCTAAACAGGTTACAGAGTCAGCTGTTACACAGGTTATTTTCTCTGTTCAGGTGTGCAAACTGAAAAACTATCAGTACTCTGCACACTGTAGAGTTACTTAGTTTTGTACCTTTTTAGCTTTATATATACTAACCTCAGCAAAAGCTAACTAAGAAATAAGTGGGTAGCTGTGCATCCTGAATATCAAATTAAGACTAGTATTTTATTGCTTTTACAACATTGTATTACTGTGCTTGAAAAATTAGAGAATGTCAGTAAAAAAGAAGATATGTGCATTATTTCCTTACAAACAGAAAGGATGAATAATTATCCTAGTCTGTTTAACATAAGGTCTGATAATTTTGTTGCTGCTAAAAAATCTGTATTAGAAATTCTGTAATACTTTCTCAATAAAGTACTTTTTTTTGTCACATTCCAATGCCTGGTCATACTTAAAATACTGCTTTTGTTAGATGGGTTAAGAAATAATTGCTAGGTTATGAACTTTTGATATAACTATCATTGGACAATGAATAGCAGTCAGTGCTCAGGATACTTTTTTTTTTAATAGGATAAAGTGCGTACTGAAAGCTATCGTGACTTCATTTATCTAAACCCGCACATCTTTAGAGATAAGGTAAGTGAGCTGGTTTTAAAGCTGTTAATGTATTTGCAGCATGTGATGCGCTAAGGTAATAAAAGTCTCCTGGATTGGATTCCTTCTACAATTGGGATACTGAATCTTTTTGACAAGGCTTTGATTGAATGTACTAAAGTCCTATTACATGGAGAGCATTATTCAGTTGCAGGAGGGTGCAGAATACTGATAAGAGAAATGCTGATCAGCATTGTCATTGTTCAGTGTGCTGTCGTGAGTATTCATTAATTTTGATGACAAGGTTTTGTTGAGCCTTTTCTTGTTTGCTCTTCTTAAGTGGTATCTGAAATAAGTGTGTGAACACTTACCATTCTAAAATCTACCCCAAGTGAATTTCTAACCTGCGTGTTGTATGATAAAAAGTTTCATGAAGCCCCCTGAGGTACTGGCTTCTGGAAAGAGTTCAGATCCCAGTCTTATATGGTTTGAGTGAAACCCATATAAATAATTCCCTCCTGGTAAGTTTCTAAAAAACATCAGCAAGTTCTGTCTTTATATAGGACTAAATCTGGCTTCTGTGTGAAGAATTAAGGAGAAATTTCCTGACAATGAGAACAGTTAATAGTGGAGCAGCCTGCCTTCAGTAGCTGTATGTGCTCCAACACTGGAGGCTTTTAAGAGGAGACTGGGCAGTCACTTGTCTGGAATGGTATAGGGTCTCCTGCTTGGGCACGGAGTTGGATTAGAAGACCTTCAAGGTCCCTTCCAACTCTGTTATTCTGTATTCTGTAAATTATGGAATAAGAGTAAACAATAGGAAAGGAAGATCAAGTCAGTATATGCCATTGCATATTCAAGACCATATTCATATCATCCTTTGCCTCTGAAAGTCTCCTTTTCTCACATTGATTGGCTCTTGGTCAGAAACGCACACTTAGAAATTACCTTCAATTAAAGTGTATCTTCTTCTACACATTATTTTATTTTATGGAAGGAATTGTACTTGGAGGTTGCAGTTAACATTATCTTTTAATTTTTAAAACTCTGGTAACAGGATACTCTGGAAACTTTAATTATGCTAAGTGTATAATCTTAGAGTCCTTCTGTTGAACAAAGAGCAATATTAACCCTGATCTTGTATGTGCCACTTCTATGATATAAGGAATCGTCTTTATTTTTGTCTTGGAGCTAGAGAACAGGCAGAAAACATTTTCTCTGTATGTGCATAATTAAGAATTCTTTATACCAAATGAAAACATACCTTGACATTTATGGGAAACACTTGTAATATTTTATTCATAATAAAATTATATTTTCGTTGAGTATGTGTAGAAAAGCAGTTCTGCTTGTGGAAGGTAGGCCCATCAAATTCAATCATAAGCAAGTGGAATAGGAGTATCTGCTATTATAGACTATTTTTAAAATTTGGAACAAATACTGCTTTGCCTTGATATTCATAGGCAATTGTCTATGCATGCTTAAATGGATAAAGGCAGTGATGGCTGGAGAATTCTGGGAGCTGAAGTCCACACATCTAAAAATGTGGTGGCGCAGTGGTTACAATTCAGTATTACAGGCGAGCTCTGTCTACAGCCAGCAATTTAATCCTGACCGGCTCACAGTTGACTCAGCCTTCCATCCTTCTGAAATGGTAAAATTAGGACCCAGATTGTTGGGGGCAATATGCTGACTCTGTGAACCATTCAGAGAAATACTGGAATATTAGGAGTTATAGGACAACTATAGTCATAACTGATGATATGGATTTTTAAAGACATCGTCTGAAAATTTGTTTTAGGAATCATGTACTCTGATTGGGGCAGATAGGATATTGATTAGGTTTTCAACCTTTGGGCTTTTGATTCTCTATTGTCTAGCAACATCAATAATTTTAAAAGTTTAATTTAGAATAATCAAAAATTGTGCTTAAAAAGTATGGGAAAACCCAGCAATAAATGTTTGTGGAAGAAAAATGCTAAGTTTGGTTGTGGTAAAGACCACAAATACACAGGCAGATCATTCAAAAACAGCTACTTTCTTAATTTTTAACATGTTTCTGCCAAGTAAATTGTTGGATCTGTGGGTGTTTGGGGGAGGCAAAGTACTGATTTGCCTCCCCCAAAGTACTGGGGGAGGCAAAAAACTGCATTTACACTTGTATGCTTATTATTGCTACAGAGCTTTGCCTTGCTAGCTTGGAAAGTGGATAGATTTATTAAAATAGCCTCAGTAGTCCTCTGAATTGTTCACATTTTACTATGTTCACAGCTTAACATAAGATCTAAACATGCTTTCCATGCTTCTGTGTATCTGCTGAATTTTTGTGCACTTAATTATGGTAGGTAGAATCTGAAGAAATTTATATATTTAAGTGATTTATGTGGCAGCTCTTCTCACAATGATTACTTTGGGTTGGCGTACAAAGGTTAACAGAACTACTACAACAGATAATCCAAATGCAGATTGTAGATGCATTTGTAGAGATTCATCAAGTGCAGTAGGTGTATCATAACTCAGTGCCTCAATCATAGTTTTTGGTGATTGAGGAAGTTGTAAAACTTAAGTATTTGTCTTCATGCAACTTCCCGTGCTCAGTGATATACTGAATAGCAGAAAGTAAATCCATTAGAGTTGCAGTTCACTACCATCAAGATCATTAACATATAGAGATGAAAATAATACTTGTTTATAGCTTATATGGTTAGAGAGTTATCTGAAATTTCCACGTATTAAAAAAAAGTTAAATATCTTAAGTCTAAATAAGTACTTAATAAAACACAGCAGGACATTACAAAAACACCTCATTAACGTGTAGAGTGAGTTCATTTTAAAGCAAAAATCATTTAACTTACTTCAAGAAAGGAACAATTTTTACTGCCATGCCAACATTTAAAGTATTCTTTGCAAGGGAAGAGATGCATTTCCTCTATGGTTCTGCTGACTGGCATATAATTATAGTCAATCTATATAAATAAGAAAAAAATATAATTGTGGTAACGTTTTCTTTATAGTTGGCATTTTTAAGATAATGAACAGATTGAAATTCAGCTTTGCCAAAAAAAAAAGGGGGGCGGGCGGGGAGTCTGCTTCCATTCCACATTACTATGATAGAAGTTCATTGTTTTAATTCTTTTTTGATAAGTTTTTGGAACTCCAGTCAGAGAAGCTTGAGAAGGAAGTTTAAATACAATAGTGACTAAAGTATAGGAGATTTGCTTTTCAGTTGCCTTCAGTTACCTTTCAGTTGATATTAATACTATCCTTTTCAAGCATGTGTGTTACTTTGTCTTTTGGGTCCACAGTATTTTATCCATATCTACTCATTTTGTAAAAGGGGGTATTTTGTTTTTTAATTGCTCTCTTTCCATGCTAAAATTGCACTTGTGGGTCCCACCTGGCTGCTAGAGAAAGTTCAAGAAAATGGGTCTAGGATTTTGTTAATGCTTCCTGCAGGAATGGGGTGATGTCAATGTCTCAGAAGAGAGCATTTGATTGCCCTTCATTAAAAGGGTTACTATGAACCCAGCTGAATTGAATAATTGTTATCCAACCTTTAACCTGCCTTTTGGGGGGAAATTATGGAGATGGTATAGCTATAAAACAAAACAAGTTACAGAACTGAAGAAACGTTATCTGGATCCTTTTCAATCAGGGATCAAGCCTGGGGATGATTGAAAGTGCATTGGTCACTCTTGTTGACTTTTGACAGGGCTTAAAAATTCTGCTAGCTCTTTCAGCAGCTTTTGATACCAGCTTGGTCCAGCTTAGTCTGGTTAAAACACCAGACTAGAAAGCAGGAGGCTGTGAATTCAACTCCCGCCTTAGCCATTAAAGGCAGCTGGCTGACCTTGGGCCAGTCATACTCATGGTTGCTGTTGAGAAAATAGGAAGAAGTAGCATTAGATATGTTTGCCATTTGCAATCTTCTCTGCCATCTTCCCCAGAAAGTCAATGGAGGAGCCAGCAGGGAAGGTTGCCGCACAGCTGAGATTCCCTCCTGGCAAGCAGCTCTTTGAGAAGGATTCGGGTTTTCATGTAGCTGATATCCACTTCCCAAAAGAAAAGGACTGCTTACTGAGGGGAGGGAACTCCTCTGGCAGGCTGCAGAAATGGAGGACAAATTTGATCTCTGTTCTTGCAGCCCTTCAGAGATGGTGCCCACAAGAGTTTATAAGCTTCCCAAATAAATCCATTTCATATTTTCCTTTCTTCCTTGCAGACAATTCTCTTTTCATTTTTTCAGCTTAAAAGTTATTGCAAAACTTCTGGTTTTATTTTGGATTATGAACTGAGAATAAAATAAAACCTCCTTCAAATTCTAGCTTGTTAGGAGAATGACAAACCATGAATGATTCTGCAGTAAGTTCTTGCTTTGTAACCTTTTATTCCCTGATTTTGCTGCTATTAAATAACAGAAGAAGCTAGATGAGACTAGTGTGGAACATGCATGTTATTATCATAAAGCCAGAATTCTATGTGTGTTTTGTGATGTCAGAAATAGGCTCCTGGCCAACCAGCATATCCTACTAGCCAACCCACCACCTGATCTTTCCACCTTCATTTCTTTTTCTTTCTCTTCCTCTTCTCAACTCATTAATGTCCATTTCTTTTTCTTGGTCTTTTCTTCCCACTTCTGCTCAAAATATCATTATTTTGGTCCATGTTCCAAATAAAACAGTACCGCTTTATTTGATATTTGAACCAAAACATTTAAAATGCATGTTTTAGTTCAGGTACCAATCAACTCAAACCTTCAACAGTACAGTTTATGCAGTTTCCCCTCCCCCCCTTTTTTTGGGAAAATGTAGATAACTCTTCATTGGATCTATTCAAAGAGAGGCTACGCAACCATTTCCTGGGATTCTTTAACTTGGGTTCCTGTGCTGAGCAGGAAGTTTGACTTGGTGGTTTAAATGGCCTGTTCCAGTATTGTGATTCTAAGTGTTTCTTGCCTCTGGTCTGTTGGCAAGCAATTTTGTTGAAGGCTGCCAGATGTCCTAGTACTGCTGGTTGTTCTGAATATCTCAGAATTGCAATGTGAGTTCAGAAGTGCAAATTTTTCTGTTCTGCATCCGAAGATGGGTGTTTTTTATGGGCTGAGACATATGCTTATACCAGCAAGACATTAAATGGTTTTTAATCAAGACTAAACACTAAAGACTTTCAGTATATCTCTTAAGGAATTCAGCATTTTTAAATGTTATATTTTAAAATTTCTCATTAACATGAGTATTCATGACTAGATTTTTGGTTACAGATACTATTTAGTAACGTCACTCAATGCCTTCATCATTATTCTGTAACCATTATCTGATTACAATAACTTGCTTTTTTCTTCTTCTTTACACTTCATTAGATTGTCCTAGATGTTGGCTGTGGCACTGGAATCCTTTCCATGTTTGCTGCCAAAGCAGGGGCAAAAAAGGTGATTGGAGTGGATCAATCTGAAATCATTTATCAAGCCATGGACATCATTAGGTAGGCACCCTTCACAGATTCGACCTCATTAAAATAAAATATATGATAATGCTTAAAGAGAAGATAAAGGAACTTTCAATGGACTTCAGCCGTATCAGACCTATTTTTGTTCCAAGCCTAGGAACTAAATGGAAGCCAGATATTCTTGGGTTTCTAATAAAAGACCTGTGACCTGTAAGTAGGCCATGTTTTACTTTTTTATTTTCTGCTGGGTAAAATTACAACTATGCTGTTCAAAAAAGTCAGTGTTATAAATGTTCAGGGAATAATCCTATAAATGCATCATTTTATTTGCAAGCAATGGGAAACAGAAGAATTCTCTTACTTTGAAAGGTTGGTTTATTTCTTTTTTGAAAGCAGTACTTCCCCACTGCTGTCACTATGATTTTACAGATAGGAAATCATTTGATTTATAATTTGCAAGAATATGTTAAGTCATATATCAAAAGCAAAATGTCTGCTAGTGGAGTATGGAATGAAGATTGGCAGATGCCGTTTACTTGTCAGTTTTGTCTTATTTCTTGGAAAAAAGTGGGGGGGAATCAATGCGTTTGGCTGCATCTGTATTCTCCATTTATTTTATGTTTAACAAATGTTATTAATTTTTGGACTGTCACAATCACTAGACTCTCAGCTGTTATAAGAGCAAAATGGGTATTTAAAATACATTCTTGAAAAGTCTAAAACAACTATAAAAACCAATTTTAATAATTTATTATATATCAATCAAAAATCAAATTAACATCCCATCATTTCACATAGGGCCTCCAAATACTTCAGTTTCCAAAATTTTCGTAGAGTCTAAAGAGTGATAGCCAGTATAATTTACCTGGGGAGTTTTACTGAAAAGCATAAGTCCTCTCCCTTCTCATTTTATGACGGATAAACACTGAGGGATCACAAACAGTTTCTCTCAAGATGCACATTGGGCAAGTCAATTCTGGTTTGAGAAAATCTTGCAGCTAACTCATTGCCAAATCACATATCAGCGATGGAAGAATGGGAGTTCTTAGGTTATGCTGAACTTAAATGAGTTAATAGGAGTTTAAATTGCACTGAAAATCCGATAGGAAGCTGGTAAAAATGAACATAACCTTTGGTGAAAGACAACAGGGTCACTACGTTCTGGATTTGTTGAAGTATGATCTTCAGAGGCAGGTACCAGTATACAATCTGGGTCAGTCACTGGGACCAGAAGTGACTGACCCAGATTGGATCCTGCAACACTATCCTGCTGCATTCATGAGCTACCAGTATAGTACATTGCAGTAATTTAAAGGGAGTGAATACTTGACTGACATCTCCACCTTCATAAATTAGAACTGCCTGATCAGGCAGAAATGATAAAACAGTGCCCCCATTTTGCCAACATCAGAAGCAGTTTAGAAGAATACCATGGTCAATTTTACCAAGGCTGATGAGAGCTCTAAACTAGGGGTATGCTACCTCCATCCAGATCCCAACAGAGGTCACCCACAAGAGGAACTAGTGCTCCTCACTTTGAAACAAGTCTAAATAATCTCTCTCCAGAGAGTGCTCACAATGACTCCAATCTCAGTAACCTTCCCAAGGAAAGGAAGGTTAGAAACAAGATAATAATTATTAAAAATGGCTAGGTTCAGGAAGAAGCAGACTATAGAGAACTTGATGACCTTGGAGAAGGAATATAGCAATTGACAAAATATTAATTAAGTCCAAGAGAGGAAGAAAATGTTAAAAAGAAACCTAAGATGAAGGACAAACTGCATCTTCGAGTTGCAGATATAGTACATCCTACAAAAATGAAGCACTGATCATCTCCTGGAGCTGACTGTTGCCGCCTCATGGGTGGGGGGGCATGGATCCAAACTGTAGGTGGCTGAGGACATACTGGAGAGAACCCTATCATTCTTTACGCTCCAGTAGCCAAAATGAATCCCAGATAAAATGACAAAATACTGTCCCAGTCACCACATTGAACTCTGTCTATGAAGAGTCGAGACAGGTGAATCTGAATGACTTTATCCACAAAAAGCTGCATACTCATTGCATCAACCAGATAGAAGTCTATGCGAGACCCTCTTCCCAAAGGACTGTCACTGCCTCTTGGTGCATTGAGATAAGAAAAAAGTGTGTGCTTCTCCTGTCTTATTGTCACAATGGAGGCTTGAATTTGGTTCTCCATGCTTGGCCAATTTAGCATCTTGTCGTCCTTCACTAGTGCGTCAATCATGATATATTGCTTCATCTCCTGGAGTTTCTCAATAAACAAAAGGCACATCTCAAGGTGATGTGTATATCTATCTATCTGTCTGTCTGTCTGTCTGTCTGTCTGTCTGTCTGTCTGTCTGTCTATCTATCTATCTATCTGTCTATCTATCTATATATAGAGAGAGGGAGGCCATTCAGGAGCAATTTCTTCAAGTGGCCAGGCCACCTCTGTTTAGAAGCAACCAGGTGCTCAATGGAACAGCTGGTAAGATTGTTGGGAACTTCCTCAAGTATTGGTGGAATCCATTTGGATTTCATTTGTTTTGTTTCAATTGATGTTTGGGGAGTATCAAAGATATTTCTCATTCAAAATATCTTTATATCTTATGATTTTTTCCATATCAACCACATTTGGATGTATCGATGCCTCTATCGTAGAAAGCCAGACTGGTATTTTCAAATAGTGTTTTTCCTTAATTTTTACCCATACTGAAAATAGAGCATTTCTAATGCAATGTTGTTGGAAATAACTGTGTATTTTATTTTTCCCATACCATAGAAAGACATGCCACCCCAATTGCAAATCATGACCCTCCAAAGTTAATAATTGTATATGTCTCAAGGTTATCCATTCTTTTAGCCACATAAGTGCAGATGCCTGCCAATCTGGCAGCCCAAAGCCTCCTCTATTCTTAGAGTCTTGTAACAGTTTCAGATTTATTCTTGTTTTTTTACCTTGCCAAATAAATTTTGATACTAATATATTTAACTCCTCAAAGTATTTCTTTTCCAGCTCTATTGGAATTGGAACAGGTATAATAATCTTGGTGGAGTATTCATTTTAATGGTAGCTATTCTGTCAGAGTGGCAATTAATCCCATTCTGCTTTTGGGTAATTGCACCTTGTTAGAGAATGGATCGTGACTTTTCCTTGAAGTATACTTTAAGAAAATAAACCCGAGATATATTCTAATAAACACATTTTATTATAAAGAAGTAAAAACGGTCTTACTAGCTAATTAATTACATCTTGGCAGCGTTCCTGCCTTGCCTCTTGGCAGGCGAACAAAGAAAGTTAGAAGAAAGTGAAAGAATGTGAAAGAAGGAATGTGGACATGCGCAGTGGCATTCTGAGATAAGAGTCAAATCAGTCTACCGTAAGTCTCAGAATGGAAGCACAGCTGACAAATACAAAAACGCAGTGACATATTCTTCCTAGTAGTGATAGTTGCAAGTTTTTCCACTTTTCCAAGTCAAGTTTAATTTGCTGTATCAATTTAGCATAATTATCTTCTTTTATAGTTTCACATCTCGCTGATGCCCAGATATTTTACTTTCTTCACTATCTGAATGTATATCTTCTCCATTAACTCTTTTTTCTGTTTATTTGTGAGGTTTTTGACTAGAATTTTAATTTTCTCTTTTAATCCTGCAACTTCCCCATAGTCATCTATTTTCTTCATTAATTTGGGTCCAGTTGTTCGCGGTTCCTCTATGATAAATACCAGGTCATCTGCAAATGCCTATAGTTTGTTGTTGTTTTTTATCTCCATCTCTTTTATTTCTGTGTCCTGTTGAATGTTTCTGTTTAATACTTCCAATGTCAAAATGAATAGTAAAGGGGACAGTGGACATCCCCGTCTTGTGCCTTTTTTAATATTAACATCATTTGTTATGTCCCCATTTACAATCACTTTTTCAGTTTGTTTGGTATATATTGCCTTGATCATATTAGTAAATTTTTCACCAAATTCCATGTATTTTAATTGCCTTATCATAAATTGCCAATTTACATTATCAAATGCTTTCTGCGCATCTAAAACAACCAGTGCCATTTGTTTTTCAGAATGTGCTTCATAATATTCCAGCATATTCAAAATTATTCTCATGTTGTTTTTAATTTGTCTCCTAGGCAGAAATCCATTTTGATCTGAGTGTATAAATTCATTCAAGAATCTCTTTAATCTTTCATCTATTATTGAAGCATAAATTTTATAGTCCACATTTATAGTCCAAGTGAGATTGGTCTATAATTTTTAATTTGCAATAAATCTGTATCTTCCTTTGGTATAAGTGTAATATTTACTTCCATCCAGGATTTTGGTATCTTAGCTTCTAACAAGACTTTATTATAGACTTCCAGCATTGACTGTCCTAGGATATCTTGTAATTGTTTGTAAACTTCTGCTGGTAGGCCATCTGGTCCTGGCGTTTTATTGTTCTTCTGTCTCTTGATCACCTCAGTTAGTTCAAACATTATTATCTTTTCGTTTAACATAGTTCTTACTGCTTCAGGAACTTTGGGCAGCCTAGCTTCTTCCAAATATTGTTTTATTTTATCCTCTGATAGTTCCTCTTGATATACAAATTTTAATAATAGTTTTGGATTATTTTCTTTTTTTATCATTTCATCATTACTATTGTTTGGATGCCAATAATTACTTTCAGTGTAAATATTGCCAAAGTATCCAAATTTAGCTAATATTTTATGTTTGGTATGGTATTATTGAGTTCATGAAGCTTTTCATCCATAGTTTGCTTTTCTATGGTGTTTATCCACTAAAATGCTAAAATTGTTATGAGGTTACTGGCTTCTGTTGCACGTCAGATGTAAGGTGATTGTAGTATAATAAATGTTTAAGAAAGAATTTAGATAATCATTGTGGTAGAGAAATAAATCCCAGTGGTGTGAATAATTATACTGTCCTGTCTGGTATTAGCTGTCAGACAATGATATAAGAAAGAAGGATTGATAAATTATGCTTCAGAGAAAGTAAGTGCTATTAATCTTGAGTAACTTAATCTTGAGTTTCCTTGCACATATTTTCATTTAAAATATGAAATAGGATATCCTTAAAGAAAATTGGTATTACACCATAATGCTTCAGCTAAAATTCTGCAGTTAACGAGGATGATTGTTTTCACAAAAACATAAACATCAGTTACTTTATTATAACTTAGTTGTGTCATCTATGGAAAGGACTGGTTAAAACTTCCATTTATCAACAGTTTAAAAAATCATTTTATAAAAGGAAGTACCCTGTTTCCCCGAAAATAAGTCCTCCCCAAAAATATTTAAACGCAAAGCTGGAAATCAGGTAAGATGGCAAGAGGAGCCCCATCTTGATCCATGTGCCCCAAAAATAATAAGACCTCCCCGAAAATAAGCCCAAGCGCTTATTTTGGAGTTCAAAAAAATATAAGACAGGGTCTTATTTTCGGGGAAACACATTATATGAATATAATTCAGGGCCAGATGGAATTTTGGCGGAATTATATAAAACATTTCAAGAATCTTTAAAAGAAATTATGTTGGAAATATATAATGAGGTATTGGAGAGAGCTAAAATGCCAAACTCATGGACGGAGGCATACATAACATTAATCCCAAAAGAAAATACAGACAATCAACACATCCAAAATTATAGGCCAATCTCGCTGTTAAATGTCGATTACAAAATTTTGGCAACAATAATGTCAGAAAGACTGAAAATAATACTAAACAAAATTATTCATTCAGATCAAAATGGGTTTTTGCCCAAACAACAAATTAAAAACAATAAAAGAATTATAATGAATATATTAGAGTATTATGAGGCCCACCCTGAAAGACAATTGGCATTAATATAATGGAAAAGGAATCTAAAAATAATGGATAGTATATAGCAAAAGAGAAGATATTATAATGGAATGATATATTTAATGTGTAGTAGGTATGTATATAAAATGTATTGATTATATGAATAAGTATGTAACAAACAAAATGCATATGTATATAATTGGCTGAAAAATAAATTGGATATTACTAAAAATGCCAGTATTGGAAAGCTATAAAAGTGTAACTAAGATTTAAATATGTAAACGTTGAATAAAAATAATTTTAAAAAAATCTTTTATTAAAAAAAAAAGATGCATTTAAGTGTATTCCACTAGGTTCAAAAATTATGAATATTTGGTTAAAGCACATTTGACTATTATATTTTTCTCTCCCAGGTTTTCCCTCGGTCACCAAAGCAAATTTATATATGTCTCTGATGTTATAGTTAAAACTTGAATTAAACTGTAATTCATTTAACATAATTGTAACAGCAGACCAATTGCTTTGCAACATATGAACGTGTTTTGAAATTGTCCGTTGAATTTTGGTATCTTCTAATTGATGGGGTCTTTGAAATCAAATAAGAGATGTGAATACTTATTGAGGCTGTTGAAAGCATTTGAAAGAAGTGCAAAATACATTATTGCAAATTAGTCTTAGTCTCTTCACAGCATTAAAACAGCCTTTGGAATCCTTATGTGTTTTTCCCCTAGCTTTTTTGTTTGTTTGTTTGTTTGTATATACAGATTCTTGCATAGCCAGCTCTTCATGTCTCTGGCATTCCAATTATCTGGGCATCTACATGCAAACCTATGCATGTTTGAAGTAACTACATAAGTTTCCTAAGGATGTGACTGCTTTAATGTTTTGAGAAGAGGTGCTTCACTCATACTAACGAACTATGCAAAAAGCCCTTTTTGAACGCTTAACACTTCCAGATACAAACCTACAATACTTGATAGAAGAAAATATTTGTGGCTCAGGGCTGAACCGTGTGGGGTCCTTGGTGCTCTCTGAACTTGGTGGTGCACCAATGATATTATCTAATTTGGTAACGAACAATCTGCAAGAAAACAACCAAGTTCAGAGAGCACCAAGGATTCCACACTACAGTATTTACTTTTTTCCTTTACATTTGCATAAGTAGGAAATTTACATATTTCCTTTCTGAAAATAAATGAATTTGCATCTGTGCAAATTTATTGTGCATATTTAAATGTGCATAATACACATTTCAAGTGTGCATTATGTCTTGGACAAGAATAAACTGTGTTATATTAATAAATGATAGCACATCTCAGACAACAATTTTCTGATACTGTTACAATGGTTATGGAAGCAGTAGTTACTTTCCTAAACTATTGAAAAGCATCCTTGAGACCCAGAAGGCTAAAAACAGTGCAGCTATCTGGAAGAAATGCTAGCATTTTCCTGGGATGTCTTCTCTCATTGCTGGTTAATGCCTTTTTTTCTTAGGAAAAAATCAGCGGTATATGAACCCAAGCAAATATTTAAACATGAAGTGGCTGATTTTCTACTGAATTCCAAATCCTGCTAGCCTGTGTTAGTAACAGATAGGGGAGGGTGAGTTTGTGGATCTCCATAGGTCAGTCCAAAACATCCATTCTCTTAATGTCTCATAAACAAAACCTAGATTCTTCAGTACTGTATTCCGTAGTATCTCACTTAAAATCATACCGGGGATTCCTATGCAAGTGTAATTTGTAATTCTTGAGTACAGACTGTGTGGCCAGACTAGCAAAAAACACTTGTGGAACAGTTATCTGTTATTACAAGTACTTATTAATGGTAATAATGGAGTGCTTCCAGGTAAAACATAATTAGAAAACATGTAACATGCTTTTGCCCTTTGCCTTGCAGGCTCAATGGACTTGAAGACAGTATTTATTTGATCAAAGGAAGAATTGAAGAAGTTGATATACCTGTTGAAAAAGTTGACGTTATCATATCTGAATGGATGGTAAGAATAGAAATATGCTTTGCAAAAATATGGAGGCGTAATTTCAAATGTGCCAAAATACTATGTGGCAAATCGTTATATTTTTAATTATTGTAACTATTGTCTTCTTGTTTTAAAATGACAGGAAATAATTTGTCCAATTAACAACACAATAATATCTATCTGAAATCTATTAGACTAGTATTTCATCATAATTTAAAATAGCCATTAAGTAGCATTTTAAAAAAAGCATGCATGTACATATGTAAATTTATTTTTGTATGTAGATAGAATCCAGAATAACAAAATGACAGAATTTGAAGAACCTTGGAGGTCTTCTAGTCCAACCCTCTGCTCAAGCAGGAGACCCTATATCATTCCAGACAAGTGGTTGTCCAGTTTCTTCTTAAAAACCTCAAAGTACCTTCAATGAGTGCTCAAAGTTATAATGGCACTGCAAAAAGGGACTTTTTTTAGAAGCTGGACAAAATTGCTGGTGTATATTGCAAGTAGGCTATTGCTAGTAAGGCAACATTGATATTGCCTATATATATCAAATGAGCAGACTTCAATCCAGACAGAACTTCTGTTCCTGTGAGGTATAGAATTTTAAGAGGAAATTATGTTTAATACTAATTAGAGTGATTTTACAAATAGTAAGCTGTGAAATGCTGTGCAGCATGCTGGTGCTAGGTTTTCCGAATATTCATTTTATTTATAAAGGGAGACAATTCACTCAGCTCATACCCTTGGGAGAAGCACTTGAGCGTATTTTTCTTCACATCTTGATGATTTAAATGTCGCTACAAGAAGGAATTAGTGCAAAGAGAAGACTGTGTTAAATCCATGGGCAGAATTTTTCTGCTTCCTTGCAGTCAATGCTAGGCGTATATATAGACACACATGGACACACATGTGTAGGTACATGCGCATGTATGTATGTATCTGTATATCATATTTTTCGGAGTATAAGACACATTCCCTCACTCCCAAAAGTGGGTGAAAATTGTGGTGAGTCGTATACACCAAATGTTGCATCAGTCATACCTGGGGGGGGAGGGAGTTGGTGTGGGAGTGGCAACAGCAACAGGCAGCTGATTGGCGGTATTCTGGGTGGCTGATCCAACCAATTTATGAGGCGATATGGTTTTGCTATGTGCACCAAAACCAGAATTGCGCAAAAAATGCCAAAAGAGTATGAATCTAAGATTCTGTCTTTTCATACATTTCTAATAGATGCTAGGAAGAATTTTTTTTTTAAATTGGCCAAATTGGGAATATGGATGAAGTCCCGCTAACATTTGATGTGCCCTCTAATAAGACTGTTGATCTGAAAGGGGCCAAAAGCATAACCGTGAAAACCTCAGGACATGAGAAAAGGCATTGCATGGTTGTGTTGTCCTGCTGTGCAAATGGCACCAAATTGCCACTGATGTTAATATTCAAAAGGAAAACCTTTCTAAAAGAAGTTATTCCAAAAGGTATTGTTGTGCATGTCCATGAGAAAGGATGCCACCGGAGAAGTTAGCAAAAATGTTTAAAGATAAATCAGCGAAATTTTGGAAATGTCACCAACTACTAGGATCCTATTATCATATGTGGTGGACATGCCCTGAAGCAAAAAACTATTGGAATAAAATCAAAGCCTGGCTGGAAGAAATGACACAATAACGTATTGAATTCAAACCAGAGTTGTTCCTATTGGATATATTTATTTGATTATACACGTAATAACAGCTGCAATAATTGTTTATGCTCAAAATTGGAAATTAGAGAAAATACCTTTGGAAGATGAAGTAATAAAAAAGATTTTAGATTGTGCAGAAATGAATCGATTAACTTTGTTGATTAAAGATAGGGAAGAATCAGAATACTTTAGAATATGGAATTATTTTAATTGCTGGTTGGAAAAGAGAGATAAATGATTAATTTTATAACTATATATAAAAATTTGATGGCAAGAATATGGTTATAGGAATGAACTTTTATAGTGGTTTGGATGATGATTAAGATAGAAGAAACTGTTGGAACAAGAAGAATAAAAAGAACTGAAGAAGTCAACAGCGAGATGTTACGGGAGGGATGATTGATGTATTAAATGTTTGTTTGTCTTAAAAAATAAAAAAACTTTTTTTTTTTAAAAAAAAAGGATGGATGGACGAAAATGGAATGAGAGTATAGGTTGAAAAAGTGTGGTCCAAACGTCCTGGAGATCTTCTGAAAAAAACCTGCTTTATTAGTGCTCGATCAGTTTAGAGCACATATTAGCAAAACCACAAAGAAAAGATTCAAAGAAGTGAAGACTCATCTAGCTGTAATTCCTGGGGGTCTTACCAGCCAGTTGCAACCTCTTGACATTTCCCTCAATAAACCATTTAAAATCTGTACGCTAGAAGAATGGAACAAATGGATGGCTGCTGGTAATTATGATCTGACACCTACTGGACGAATGAGGAGGCCCACTATTACTCAAGTTTATGAATGGGTGAAAACATCATGGCACTCATTGAAGGACGAAATCATTGCTTGGTCATTCAAAAAATGTGGCATTAGCAATGCCGTAGATGGAACTGAAGATGATATCATATAGCAAAGTAGCAAAGAAAGTGATATCAGTGATTGTGAGCAACTGAGTTTCCTAAATTCTGACATTAGTGATGATGAATTTTTGGGGTTTCCAGAAAATTAGAAGAGTGCCTGAACCTTAAAGTCTCTCCTCATTTGTTAATAACAGTGATGATGGTTCTTAATACCGCTGTTGACTTTACATGGTTGAAATATTGTTCTGCTATATTTTATTAAATATACCCTGTTTTCCCCAAAATAAGACACCCCCTGATAATAGGCCCAATTGGGCTTTTGAGTGCATGGCAATAAGAGCAAGCGCTTATTTCAAGGTTCAAAAAAATATAAGACAGGGTCTTATTTTCGGGAAAACATGGTATTACTACACCATTTGGTTCAGAATATTTTTTTTCTTGTTTTACTCCTCTAAAACCTAGGTGCGTCTTATAGTCAGGTGCATCTTATACTCCGAAAAATACGGTAAATACAAACCTAAATAAACACACAAAGACTGCTACTTCTTATCCAGAGCTCTTGGATTAGCTGTATCAATAGCACTTAGACTGGACCATACTGGTTCAGAGGGCTTTACAGCCCTCTCTAGGCGGCCTAGCTGTTACAGAGAAACCATTTGTGTGATTTTGCTTTCACTAACCAATGATCAGGATAATGTAGAACTGTCAATGGACCAGGAGCTGTACTAGGTTTGGGATGGCTTTGACAGAAGTTTTTTGTTTTTTTTGTTTGTTTGTTTTTTAGCTACCTTCTATCCCCATCCCATCTTGGTCTTATCAGTAGGTAGTGATAGTGCATAATAGTTCTGGATCCAGCATCCCTGTGGTTCTTCAGTCAAATGTTGGGCGAATAATCTAAAACAGTGATTTGTCCACGCCCCTGCCAGGAAGCATTTTAGCTAATGAATATATGAACAGCAGTAACTAGTCACATTTGCCATTTGTTTCTTTTATCAAATGTAGGTGGTAAAAAAAACAAACTACAAATGAAGGCAGGTTGACAGATTAGGTCAGGACTGATGTTTGTCCAGTCCTGATAGACATTATGAAGGAATTTGAAGGAAATAATGTGGTGTGGACATGGAAAACATTTCTTGGGATCTGTAGAATCACTGAAGAAATCATATTGGAACCCGTGTGTATGATGAAGGTAGAAAACGGACAGAAAATGAATGTTCAGAAAACTAAATTGTATTAGAATGTTCTTAAATAGTTTTTCATGGCTTAAAAATAACAATAAAGGTTCTATTCTCTATCTTATCTTAGATATTAGCGGTAGCATAGCATTAAAATTTATAAGACAGTATGAAATGCAATAACAATAATACCAAAAAATGTTTTGAAAGCAGAATGAAAGATAATTATAAATGGGCTTTTTCTAAGGTTTTTAGGGGAACTTTTTTTTTTTTTTTTTTGAGAAATCCAGTTTGGACTTTAAAAAAAAAAAAAACATTTAAGTGCTGTGTTGTACATCCATACAACAATTTTATTTGAAGCGAACTTGAAATTGCAAACTTGCTCTCTAGAGATAAAATTGAATGGAGGAGCATTTTTGTTCAACAGCCAGTATCTTATTCTAATTGTTTATTTCTGTTTCTCTGAATTTTGATATACAGATACGTTTCTGTCACCCAGCTATGCAAATATACCTCACAAAGCCCTTATATCTTTATTCTATTTTCTATAAAGCATTAACAAATATTTTTAAAAGTTGAAACACTTCTATAATATGCAATAATAAAATACCCTTTCTTTGTTCGTCTAAGAAAAAGCTGGCCCTTTGTATGTCTTCATTTGGTTGCTACTTTCAATCATTAGCATTCTGCTCACAAATCTCTGCAGTACAGAATACTTTGCTTTAATTAATTTTGAATTAATAATGCAACTCTTTTTTTAAAAAAAATATTTTTAAAATTTGCACCTTGTCCATGTAGAAGCAGGAGAGTCTCCAAGCATCATACACCAAAAATGTCAGGTATAATTCTCTTTCCAGATGGCACCCCTACAGGTGAGGCAGCAGCCTGTGAAATTACATTCTAAATTACAGCAGAGATTAGCACCACACATAGAGCAAAACATTTTGAGATTGATGATGAATGACTTGATTCAATATGACGGACAACCCCTTAGCAGCTTACAGGACATGATATTGCATAAGAGAGTTTGGATGGTTGAGGTAAAAACTGCAGTGTCAGCCTGGAAAATATCAGAAGAGTACAGTGACATCTAAGAAACACCAGTTATTTTATCGGTGGTCTGCTTTTTTTAGCATGACTGAGAAAGGTAATGATGTATTAGTGCAATAATTGGTTCTTCCAGTGATGGCTTTGTCCTAGCAGAAAACATTTCTCCTTCCCAGGGGTGTATTCAATTTTCATTATACCTTTCCATGCTATGTGACACATTTTTGTGGAGGATTCCTTGATTTTCAGAACAGCCTTCACGTACATGTGGGGGGAGGGGAGTGCAGTGCAGAAGGAGGAACAGCAGACATCTTGGGTCTCCTTGTGCAGAGAGAAATGCTCCATAGAGATACGAAGGTACTGTTGGATGCAAATATACATATGTCCTACTATAAAAAACCTGCTTGCCATTTGTCCCTAGGGCTGTTGTTTGTGCAAACAGCAGCTAGAGAGAGAGAGTTGTTCAGTAGGAAACTGATGAAAGCTTTCCATCAGAAGCACTTTCTGGATCAAGCTGTTCTGGCTGCTATTTTCTCCAAAATAAAATTGCTATCTTAAGCTTGCTTATTTAATTCTCAGTCCTAAATAAAGTTGAACCTTCTTATCAGTAGAAAAATTGCCTCTTTCTCGCCACTGTGTTCTTTTTTTCTTAGAGAATAGATTTTCTAACCCTTTTGCATGAGTTGAGATTCAGACCTACCTTTCCAAGCTAGGCACAATTGGTTTGCACTCTGAGAATATAATAATTGGCTGTTAGGTAACCAAAATAAGAAGCCATGCTTCTTAATACAAAGCTATTATTTTTATCCCATATATAGTCAGTCTCGGGTCTTGGGCTTATTCTTTACTTTTTATATGCATATCTCTAAACCAGCAAAATCTGTTGAGCTTCTCTATAATTTCCAGTGGCAGCCTTTTCACGGTAAGGGGCCTGCACCCTTCTCTATTAAATATATCTTTAAACGGGACATTTAGCTACTGTCACCCCTGAACCTAAGCATTCCTGTGTCTCTGGTGGTTTTGTGGCAGGAACTGTGTGAATTGTCTTTTTGGCTTGTATGACATTTGTGATTGACCTTCACCCATGCTGGATTTGAGATCTGAAGATTTTATTATTTTATTATGCCCCTTTATGTACAAAAGGAGAGATGCTCTTCAGAGATTTCATTAATCACATTTTGTACATATTGATATCAATTAAAGTTAAATCTGTGGCCTCTTCCTCTGGGTTTGTAGTACAAGAATTGTGAAATGCTTAATGAAAGGAATTGCTATACCAGAGTGTAAATGGCAGTACTAATAGTAAAAAATAAAAGAGCTGCTGGACTATTCTTCAGAATATTTATTTCCAAAGACAAAGTTTATAAATGCTACTGTAGAACTTGCTAAAACTGGTATATAATTTTACCCTATCTCTTATTTGTTTATTTTCTTTTTTCTCAATTTGCAGGGCTATTTCCTCCTCTTCGAGTCTATGCTGGATTCAGTCATTTATGCAAGGCACAAATATCTGGCCAAAGGAGGCTCAGGTTAGTCTGATTAAATAAATAGTTCAGCTATGGAGAAAACTAGATTCTGCTATGCATGACCAAGAATTTTATTTTCTGAAATGAATGATGTTTCCATTAAGAGTAGCTCCAAGATAATCATTTCATAGTATGGATAATGCAAAAGCAATAACAGAATATTTGGATCTTAAATGAAATACTATTTTCAGGAATGCTTTGTCTTTTTAAAAATAATTAATATTCAGTCCTTGAAGAATTTTATAGAACTTTTTAATGGTAAATAATTTGGTAATAATGTAGTAAAAGGTAGAAAGTTGATATAGGAATCTTTCTAAATGTTGCTTTACAAATTATTAAAAAGGAATAAATACAGGGTTGTGTGTGTGTGTGTGTGTGTGTATGTGTGTTTGCTGTGATAGCAGAGTTTTATATTTTCATCATCTACAACAGGGGTGTCAAACATGTGGCCCATGGGCCGGATATGGCCTGCGCAGGCCACATCCACCCCGACTCCGTAAGCGCAAAAACAATCCCAATACGTCACAATACGGCTTGCGATGCAATTGGGTTTTACATCCCTGATCTACAATGTCCTCCTCCCGCCCCCTACCCCCCAACATTCAGAACAGATTGAGCATGGTCCTTGAGAGAAGGGCAAATCTATCCTATTGATTCATGCTATGTTGCTGGACAAAAATATTTGAATGCTATCCAGTGGAATTCTTTAAGGTCGCCAAAAGTTTTGCTGTATGTAAAAATGTTACAGGAAGTGCGGAACTAACAATCTAATCTAGTATGAGGTTTAAGAAAGAAGTGGGGAACTACTTGAAAATAGAGGTTCTAGTGTCTAATATAGAAACAGTTTATCAAAGCTGGTTTATGTGTTATGTTTTACCTTTAAATAAAACCCAGTTTTCATGTGGAGTTTCAAGAATAGGATATAATTCTTTATTAGCGAAGTATGATTGGAAACGCCACGAATTTGTCTCTGGTGCATAAGCTCAATGTACATACAATCAACAAATGATAAATCATAATTTATTTATTTATTTATTTATATTTATATACCGCCCTTCTCCCCAAGGACTCGGGGCGGTGAACAGCCAACAGATAAAACACAAGAAATACAAAATTTAAAAACAGTATTAAAATCCAATTAAATTAATTTCACTGGGTTTCTTGGTCCAGTTCAACTGCTGGTTTTAACCTATAAACTCTTTATGACTTAGCACCTAGTTATCTTCAGGACTACCATTTGGGAACATGGTTGCATGTTTGGAATGCTTGTCATAAGAGATGAGTGGGGCTAAGGCCAGGAAGCAATAGTTTTCAGTGATAGGTGAAAAGGAGCCTGGATAGCTCAACAGACAGAGCTCTGTAATTTAACACCAGCTGTCTGCAATTAAAGTAAGATTGAATCCCGCCAGGCTCAAGGTTGACTCAGCCTTCCATCCTTTCTAAGGTAGGTAAATTGAGGACCCAGTTTGTGGGGGCAATAAGCTGACTTTGTATAAATATACAAAAGTATGAAGGCTATTGCTTAACGCATTGTAAGCCGCCCTGAGTCTCCGGAGAAGGGCTGCATATAAATCAAATTAAAAAAAATAATAATAGTGCTGATTCTTTAGAATCCACTCCTTCTGGAGGTGAAATTGACTCTATCTGCAATAACCTTCCAGATCCAAATATAATTGTTCCAGTGGGCTTTGGAGGTAAATTATTTGTAGTTTAGATTCTGATGTAAGTATATTTTAATTTTGTAAAGCATCAAGAATTGTTGGGATGTAGTGGTTTATAAATTTAATTAAAAAATAATTTACAGTAGGCTAATTGCTACTAGAATTCTGGTTTACCATTCTGTGCATGTACGGCCTCAAAATTTATCCCCAGTGCATTTTTACTCCTCCTTCTCATTTACAGTGTTTAGATTGAGGAACATCTAATTTTGGCTCTTTGAAATAGAATAGGAAGTGTTGAGTTTTCAGTGTTTGCTGAACCACTTACTAACTGCGTGCACAGCTGGATGACTTAATTAAAAATAGTGCTTAACCAAGGGAAAATATAGGCTATTTTTGAGACAAACTGCAGTATTTAAAGCACCATGAAAGAGTTGGCCCAGTATCTAGTATAAGAGAGTCAAATTGGTATGGCATTTGTTGCATTTTGCCAAAATAATTTCCAAGTTTATTTAATATTGTACTATATTGGTGCGTATGTTGTTTTGCTGAAAAATGTTTCTAACTAATATTTTTCTCTTTTAAAATTATTATTAAAACATTGAAAACTGATGTTTTACCTGCTTAAGGGAAAACATCACAAGTTGAGTTTCAGTAAATCAAGTTGTTTTTTTAATTTTTAAATTTTTGCTTCTTGTTTTTTATGGATGAAATAATACAGTCTTACAAAGTCTACAAACAACTTATTTCAACTGTTTTTCTTATTTCTACTTCAGTTGTAATAAAGTTAAATCAGTTTCTCTTTCATACTAAGGGAGAAAATGACATATTCTGTGTATTTGCAGACCCCAAGAGTGATGTGATGGTTCTTCTTACCTTTGAAGATAAAATTCTAGTCATATAATAATAATAATAATAATAATAATAATAATAATAATAATAATAATAATAATAATAATAATAATAATAATAAAAGGTTGGGAACTTCTGTTTTATCTAAAACCAGATTAGGCAAGTACAGAGCCAAATCTGGCATCACAAAGTAGTGTCAATCGACATCTGCAACTTTTTTGTACCCTCTGTGCATAAGCAGTGAAAAGAAAGTAAAATATAGAAAGGAAAGAATTGATAGATGTGAAGAAATGTCATAGCATATTTTAAGGGACTGCAGTTGCACAAATCTTGCTGTATTACTCTACTAATACTATGGATTTATAAGTAATTTATAAATTACTTATAGTATAGTAATTTATAAGAGAAATTTTATCTCTTTTGAGGGAAGGAGAATATTTTTGTCCCTATATCCAAAGAAGCCATGATGACTATCAGATTTTCTCTTTTAAGTTTGTTTTATTTATTCAGTGTATATTAGCAGATTAAGTTGAATGGCTAATGTCAGCGCAAAAAATCAAGAGTCGGGATAGAGTTCAAAATGTACTTCTTTAATCAATTTATAAGCTAAGGTGACTCTGGATAGCAATAGCAATAGCACTTAGACTTATATACCGCTTCACAGTGCTTTACGGCCCTCTCTAAGCGGTTTACAGAGTCAACATATTGCCCCCAACAATCTGTGCCCTCATTTTATCAACCTCGGAAGGTTGAGTCAACCTTGAGCTGCTCAGAATTGAATTCCTGCAGTGGGCAATGAGTTAGCCTGCAGTACTACATTCTAACCACTGTGCTACCACTGTTCTAGATGCTTCATAATGTATTAAAATAAAACTTAAGATCCAAATAATATATTTATTTATTTATTTATTTATTTGAATTTATAAACTATGCAACTCCAATTATTTAAACAGAACAAGGATATTAAGCTACTCATGGGGGACCTAAATATCCAAGGATTAATATACTGATGGATATATGATGTGGAGTCAAACATTGTTTTGCCCCAGGGACCACTGAAAAACTATACTTTTAAGGCTTTCCGGAAAGACATAGGGTCATGGCTGTGCAGATATGGGTAGAATATAATTGGGGAGTTATTAATTTAAAATAAATGAAAGGACTTCATTATCTCTGCTTGTTTCTCATTCCCAATAGAAAATAACATTAAGAGTAGTTTTGTTGGTTGTTCAGATAATTTGACAGGCTTTCAAATAGAATGGTTTTGTTTTTAAACATGTAATTCATGTTCTTTCTGGTTTAGAAAGTTAATCGAAGCCTTATTCTTAGTTTCTTATATTTTTATGTATAAATCAGTTATCTGGTAGGATTCAAAGATCAAATGAATTTCCCCATTTCAGTGTCCATATTGGGTGAAATCCAGCAGGTTCTGACAGGTTCTGGAGAACTGGTAACGGAAATTTTGAATAGTTCGGAGAACTGGCTGGTCCCAGAGGGGGATAGGAATGGGGATTTTGCAGCATCCTTCCCCTGGAGTAGGGTGGGAATGGAGATTTTGCAGTATCCTTCCCCTGCCACGCCCACCACCAGAGCCAGTAGTAAACAAAATTGAATTTAACCACTGGTCCTTATGGTATATTCTTGCATTGTGTGCAGTAGTAAGCATCAAAACCTGTGAATTCAAAATATTCTATATTATTTCTAGAGTGGACTTTTTAAAGAGTTAGGCTGTAAGTCCAATAACCATTGCACTAGATAGAAAGAAGAAGATTTACAATGAATATGTTTTGATATAGTGAAAACTGTCGTATTCCATGGAACTGTGTACTTTTGTGATACATGTGATCGCTTGATCAAACATATGTAGGGACTGGGCTTTTCTTTTTCTTTTTTCTTTTCCTTCACATGAAATTTCTTCCCCTGACCCCAAGATGTCAACAGAGGTACCTTCAGAGTGAGAAGAACAATAACTTACAGATAATTTTGAAATAGAAAATATGGTGTAGTTTCTGCAAGAATGACATTGCTTTAAGGATGGTGTTCTTAAAATTAATTAACTGCCAAATCTGTATGATTTGATAAGATATTTATCAACTTCCCTTGCACATTTTAGTGCCAATAGCGTAACTGCACAGTTCATTTAGCAGGGATTTAGGCATTTGTAACGGGTGAACTTTTGCCAACTGCTTTGGAACAATTGTCCTACTTTCTTTATTATGCTAAATGCTTTCCAGGAGGTAAAGATGATTTATATTTCAATCTTTCTAGAAAGCAGATAGTCTGATTTTAATTGAGAAGTGAAAGCTGTGCTACTCCGGACTATTCAGATTTCATTTAAAATTGAGTGGCATAATAGACATTTTAAATGGCCTTCTGAATTTCAGTTCACCGCAGCAATTTAATCATACAGATCAATAGGATGTATAATATGAGTCTCAAATCATCTTCAGAGTAGACATTTCTGTCTTGAAAATTTCACTGAATTGCCTGTCT